GCAATTAACAAAAAATAAGAAAGTAAATGATAATGAGACTTATCAATATTTCTTGGTACGCAGGACTCATGGAACTTATTGACTTGAAATAATCAGTCTGCTGACATTATTTATTAGTAATTAAGTTTGTGATTTCAGCTAATTATAAAAAGCAATAGCAATTCCGTTAGCTACGTGATAAGCCCTTTGTACGTGACATAACTATATATGGGAAAATTGGTGTGTTTTTATTGTGGGCTGTCCGTTTCGGCAACTAAATAAGATTCGGCCTAATTAGTGGCACGGTGGCTGTAGGAATTTTTTTTTGGGAGGGGAATTGACTTCTCTGTCTCTTTAACGAGCTGCTGTTTGTGGAACCTTTCGTATAAGTGTTTTGTTATTTGGTGTTTGTGTTGGGCCCAGTTTGCGCGTGGCTGGCTTTTCTGTGGCATTGGCAAGGCAATTGGGTCATCGTTTGGTACACGTGTGGCTCGTTTAATGTTTCGCTTTTTATTTGCTTTGCTTGTTGCCATCATAAATTTTTATCGCCTAGCTGGCAATTCAATTGGCAATACTGCACACTTACCAAAACCCATAACGTTCTCGTCTCTCGCTCTTTATTGATAAGTCCTATTTGTATGTATAGATGTGTCATTGTTTGCGACATGGTTCTACTTATATATATTCTGATTTCGCTATAAAGCTTAGATCATTTGTAGTAGGCTCTTTTGTCCAAATTATGACACGTTTGTAAGCTCTAGGCGTTTTATTACAATTACAAGACATTTTTATTGTCTTAGCTTCAGTGTATTTGTTCCGCCCCTACCACAGCTTGCATTAATTTTTTTTATGAATATATATTTTTTCTCCTTACCATTCACGGAATTGAGATAACAAGTAAATTATCACTTTACCTTTGCTGTTGCTTTACTTTCTGATTATTGTAGACGTCGGCAATTTTCGTTAGCAACAAACAGTTCGAGCTGACGTCAAAGAAGTATTAGATAGTATAAACAAAGTCTACACAATTCTGCATAGATTAGAACCCCGATGGAATTAATATACGTGCACGCTAAGTGCAATTTAATTTTATTAGCATAAATTTGTTGCTTAATATTCAGAAATGAATATTCAAATACGTTCGAAATATGGATTGCATTCGATATATATACAATGTATAATGCAATATAATCTATAAGGGTAAATAAAATTTGTCTTTGAACTACAGAAATTAAAATTAAATTTGACTTACATTTTCTATTTAAAAGAAAAAAACAATTGTAAAATTACAAAATTGATTGCTGAAAAATTTTTTATATTTTTTTATTTATTACTTTTAATAGCTTTATTTTAATTTTTCCGCTATTATGAAAACAACTTAAATTAAATTTATATGAAAATGTACAATACTACTTAGTCTACTATTAAGTCTAATATAAAATTAACAAAGTTAGTGTGACTACATAAATCTGGACGATCGATTGGATGAGACCTCCGCAATCTCCTCCGCGATCGGGCTCCTCTACTGCTGAACATATTTAATAATTTACGTTTAATATTGTAATAGTTTTGTAAGTCCAAACGAAATTATAAACATCCAAAATAATCTGTAAATGCCCACTGTTTGGCTATAAAAAGAGCAGCGTGTGATTCGGAGTATAAATCCCAAACAAACAACGTTTATGGGAAAAACGCCAATGGAAAGTTTTTTTTGCTTGTTTTCTATTGTAATTGTTGCCCAAAGCTTAAAACTTTTTTGTTAGCAGCAAAATAAATTTTTGTTGTTTGTTATGTCTGCGATACACGGCACGTGTAAAGGTATTAGACTGAGCTGAGAAGGCGACCCAAGAGTCAGAGAAATAGGCGACTGATGAGAGGCGGTGCCTTGGGAAAAATAACGTATACGCAATGTGAGGCGAACCGTTTAAAAATTCAAATGTTAACCATTTGTATTTACTTATTATGTGCTAAACATTTTGTATATATACATGCGTTTCTTGTGTTAACATTGCGTATACGTAATGTGTTAATTACAATGCTAAGGCTTATACTAAGGAACAGTTTAAACTTAGCTACTTTCTCGTATCACATAAACTGCCGCCTAAGCTAATGAATGTCGAGTTATCACATGCTTTAAAATTAAAAGGCTAATATATTACGGCATTTAAACAAAATGAAGCCCATGTGCAATATAAAACGCTTTTCATGACTTGCGTGCTCTTAGAACATAAGCAGGAAAGGCAGATGACTCGGCTACTCTAAGTATGTGTGTATCTGTGTATGAGTGTGCGTGTGCGTGTGCGTGTGTGTGTGTGTGTGTGTGTGTGTGTGTGTGTGTGTGTGTGTGCAGCAGACGTCAGAATACACCACATCATAAGCATTCCTGCCATTGTTGTTATTGCTGTTGCGATACGATAGCCCCAGCAGCGAGTCAGCCACGCAAGATGTACGCGAAATAAACTTCAATATGACAACGCCTGCAAACAGCAAGAGTTTCTTGAACTTGTGTTTGTTTGTTTTTGCTCTCATCTGTGTTTTTTTCGCCAGCGTTGACAATATCAATTTAATATGGGTTCCGGGCGATGCTGGCCTGGCTGTCAGTCGCCTTTGATTGCGAAAGTAATTGGCCAGAAACGCCCCAACAATTTGTGCGGCCAATTTCCCGTGGCGTTTCTTAAAAGTCAACGATTTGGAGGTCTTTGTTTCTTAGGTGAGCCTGACTCTTGACTGCCGGCATGTCGTGTCCAACAATTATTTGGCTAATTTATGCGCACGCAGTGGCAGTTCTCATTATGGCCATTGATTGACATGACCTCCAGTCTCGGCGGCTGTAAAAGCCAGCTACAGGTGTAGGCCTACGCGTGTTTCAAATTGTTTTTAAAATACCTTACTCATGCGCCAGACATGCACACCACTTACGTGTTTGTTGCCAGCATGAGTATATCTATGTAAGATTGCGTATGAGTCAAAGTTAGACTTTTTTTTTCTGCCAGCAGCGGCACGTGTTGCTCGTTTAGTGTCCAGTTCGAGGCAAGCTAGAATCACCAGCCCCATTTGTGAGTGGAATACGCAAGGGGGTTTTCTATCGTCCGACCTTTATTTTTTATTAATACATTTTGTAAGCGATACTTAGACAACGAAGACTGTTGACTATGGCATGACGAAGGAAAGCAAGCAACTTATAATACAAGCAAATGATTTTCATTCAACTGCCTTTTCACAGTATTTATGCCTTACAGTGAATGCTCATAGGAAGTAGGTAAGATAAAAATATACGAAACGACATTTATTTACTTTTGAGTCTGCTTTAAGATATAAATCGTCAAAGCTTAAGTATTTAGCATAGTTACTCTGGATTAATATATTTAAGTAAGTTTAACTACATTTTATTTGACTTTAATGTTTAACCATTTTACATAGACACATGGGCAAAAAGGAACCCTTTTTTTGTAGGAACCTAAACATAATCTATTAGCTATTATATATATTTTTAATAAATTTACTAAGATTTATAAAATTTGTGTCGTAAGTGTATTAAAAGATCGGTTAAAGCTTCAATTCAGCTGCTGTCTCTATTTCACATTCCCGGCTCATTTGTTTATGGTTTGTGCGAATATGACTCATTTTAGCCCAAAATTTTATCCAGCTTGCCTGACCCCCCCTCCCCCCGCCACAACACTCCCCAGCCCCTTGGCCTTTGCTAAGGGGATACAGAAAATGGCGCGTGCACGTCAAATATGCCACTGGGGCTATTCGTTGAGCTTGGCGTATGTTACGCTTCATGGTTTTTGTAACATTTTATGCGTAGCTGTGGCTAAGACGTTGGCTTAGACGTGGGCCTGCAGGCTTGAAAATATTTCATATTCTACCGGAAGTTGAAGGGCAAAACACAAAAATACTAAATTGTAATTTCAGCTATCCATATTGACATATCGACAACAATTCTGTTGGCATTGTGAAAGCTGCTTATTTGACGTGATGCGACGCCATGTAACGCCCACGCCCCAAATTGCCCCCACAAGCATTTTCCAAGCAAAAAATAATTTTCGGTGGCCGCAATGCCGCACACTTTCCAAATGTAATTACACTCAAGAGATACACGTGCCGGCAATAACATCTTTCTTGCTGCTGCTCTTTTTGTTGCTCTTGTTGTTGTTTGTGGGCCTCTTCAATTTAAATTTTGATGCCTAGGGCTCATCCGTCTGACAGCACAACAATGCCAACCACAACAACAGGAACAACACTCAAAAGCGCGAGAATTTCGCTTGCTGCCTATCAATATATATATATATATATATATATGTATATATTTGCCGCGGTTCTTTCCTTACTGGGCCGGCTTATTTACCTTTTGCGAAATTGGCGCGCAAGCGAATCGCGCTAATATAAACACAGTCTATGCTCAGATTTGGGGCATTTCTAATGAGTTTCAGCCGCTTTGGGACAACCAGACAATTTAGTATTGTTCTAGCTGTAGTTGCTATGGCTACAAATGACGGCTTCAGCTGGTTTCGGTTTCAGTTTTGGAAAGCCTGCGGGCTGAATGGCTAATGTACTCCAAATTTCTGCTTTCTGGGATGTTTAACTTAGCTTTTCAAGCATATTTTTTTTCATTTCGAACAGATGCTGTTGCTCCACATATTGTGTACAGATTGAGTCTGTTTAATATTTCTACTCAATTTACCCGAGTATATTTATAATAATTAAGAAATGCGTTTTATCAAGAAATCACTTAAATGACATGAAAAAATAACTAAGCACTTCAGACAACACCTAATTTATGGCACGTGTCAAATAAAATTAAACTTTTGGCTACTTCCACAATATCTATGTTGAAGTAAACGAACATTCGCAAAGTACTCATACAAATAAATAACTGTTGCAAAAAGTTGATTGAACCCGTGGCAGTATTATTGAATTTTTTGTTGTTGTTTATTTTTACGTGGGCATCAAGTCAATCAATCAATCAATCTATTAATCAATTTGATGGCCAATTAATTTTGCATTTTGTTTGCTTGCAGTTCCAATGGCGCCCACCATCTGCTCCTCCGAGAAAAAGGTGCGCGTGGCTGAATTGAGGAAGGGGCGACGGCTTCGCAAAATGGGCGTGGCACTTGCCAATGCAACAACCGCTGCGTCAGCAGCAGCGGCTGGAGTCGCCCAAAATAGCGCGGTATTGAGATATGGTGAGTAAATCCGGTGACTGTCCCACCTGACGTATACGTAACAAGAACAGAACAGAGCTTTTTTTTCTTGAGTTGCGTTGTCATTGTTGTTGGTTGTTTATTGTTTCTTATGTCAATAGGTGGTGGCTGGCACTCACGTTCCTTGAACACGTTTAATTAATTTATGTAAACTTGTTCAAGCTACGCTGTTATCCATCTCCGATTGCAACTGATCGTAATCGTCAATATTTATGCTTGACCACGTGCCAGAATGTTGCGTACACTTCACGTGTATCCCCTTCATGTTGCCGCTGCTTTGGTTTTACACGCAACTTAGTTGTGGTAACAATTGGCGTCAGCAATGTATGTGCTCTTCTTGCCAGGCTGACAGCCGCCCTTTTAGATATCTCTGCACGACACATTTATATAAGAGTGCTAAGCCACATGACTAGATAGGAAATTCATAACGGCTGTCGTTAACTGCAAGGAAATTTCCAGGGGTTTCACGTAAGCTAGCTGCGTTATGTTGATGCTAACAGCTGGACTGTTAGTGAGGGATGTAGACAGATTAAGAAGCTAGGGGCGCCTGTCAATAAGCTGGGTTATATATCGATGACGACTACGTTCCACGTGCCTCCAGCTTATTGCTGCTGTGGCTGTGTACTTTTACCTGGCAGATGGTTGTGTTAACCATTTGCGTCAGAAATTCCAACATTTTCCTGCTTTTCTTGGCATGCTGAAACGCCCCCTTCGAGTAGTTATGCACAACACATTTATATGAGCGTTATATGGCTATATGTCTAGATAGGATAGAAATGGCGGCTGACGTTGACTGGAACAGCGGGAGATTTCTTGAAATATGAAAGTCTTAGACATCAGTTCGCTGGGATGAGTTGTTGTTAAAAATATAACTGCTAGTGTAGCAAGCACTGTAATGAAGAACAACACAGGGCTAAAAATATATAATTAAAGTTAATCAAATAATTATTTGGAAACTAAATAAAGTCTAGTAATTTAATATCATAAGGTTTTTTACGCACATCGCTAGAAGCGGAAGAAAATTATGAATATCGCATAGAAATGCGTTGTCTAAAGAGATGAGAAAGAAAAAAATAAAGAAAGAGACACTGAGATGAGGCTTGAGTGTGTTCAAAGATAGATAAAGAAAATAGAGAGAGAGAGGGAAAGAGAGATAGAGAAAGAAAGAGGTAAAGAGAGAGAGAGAGAGAGAAACGCTTAAAGAGACAGAGAGAGAGGGAGAGAGAGAGAGAGAGAGAGAGAGAGAGAGATAAAGAGAGAGATAAAGAGAGAGGGAGATAGAGAAAGCGAAAGAGAGAGAGAGAGAGAGAGAGAGAGATAGCGACAGAGAAAGAGGGTCAGATATGTTCACAGATAGAATAGAGAGACGTTTCTGTTTTCTTCATCAATTTTTCCACAAACTCAGTCAATTTCTTTTTTACGCTCATTCTCTCCCACTCTGTCGAAAAAGCATTTCTATTCGATTTTCATTTTTCTATGGAGAACGAAAGTGCGAATGTCAAAACTACATAAATTATGAATGAGAGAGTCTTTTATCAAGACTTATATCAAAATCATTAAATATTATTTTTGTGTCATGAAAATCGCAAAGAAGGGAGAAAAATATATCATGCTTGTGACATTATTTTCACAACTGAAAACATGGTCAAATGAACAGCTAACTGTAATGAGTTATTTTATGATATATAACGCAGACTTAACTCTGACTAAAATCTATCGATCATAGCTCAAGGCCCGTTAATGTATTTGACCATTGACAAGTTGTATTTCATCATCCCAATATCATTCATCAGAGTGTGACACTAATTGACCAAAAACTCTTGCATTTCACGTATTGTGGAAGTGGTGAATGTGATAAAAAGCAACGCAAACATTACGAATAGCTGAACAGGCAGCGTCTTGAATGAGCACAGCAGAATCTTGCATAAATTTTGTATAAGCATTTATTTTCACAAGAAATTCTTCGTACACACACGTTTATATACGTGTGAGAGTGTGTGTCGTAACCTCTATGTCGATGTCATTCGATGTGGCACGTTTTCTGTAGCCCTTTCATTGCCGTTCTCGGTATTGTTGTTGTTGCTGCTGTTGTTGCTGTTGTTGTTGTTGTTGTTGTTGTTGCAGTTGTTGCTACAACTGTGCTACTTTTGCTAGCTTATTTACAATTTTCCCACATTTGTTCGGTTGCTTTTAGCTTTTGCCGACTTGGCTTTTTATAGCTATGTTTTTTGTTGTTGCTGTTGACTTTATTGGTGCCATATTCAGCGCAATTCATTCCAAGTGATTTTCTTGCATATCCTGTAGCCGAATAAATAAGCAAAAGGGTATTTATAGTTTGTAAATTTTTGTACGACTTGATCAGTATCAAAATTATGTCTCTACATTCTTTTCTATCAATTAACGTATCTAATAGAGGGTCATATTTGATATAACGAACTTATATGTATATACTTTTCTTAATAATGATTGTGTCTGTTTGTAACATCACAGGGTATCTTCTAGTCAGCATTGCTTGGCGAACCTTTACTTGCTTTATTTATTTGTTTATTTTTTTTTGTATATTTATTTTTTGTTTCTGTTTTGTGTTTCCTGTTAATTTCCAGCAACACGTTAAAATGTTGAATGCTAAATGGGTGTGACAAAGCCACGTGCTGGCGACTGTGAGCCTCTCCCCCGTTCTCCCCTTAGTCAGTGACAACGTAACAACCTGGGTATCAACAGTGGGTTGCATATCACACAGTAATATTTGCAAACAAAAGTAAATAGATTTCTGTTTTTTATATCAACTAATACCATTTTGTCTGAAATTTCTTTATTCATGAGAGTAATTTGTTTTAAGATTGCAAATTGTATAAATTGGCGACAATCAAATTTAAAACATAAATATACAAAAGTATCGGAAAATATTTCAAAATATTTGCAAAAGTATCCTATGATAAGCTTAAGAAATGTTTAGATTTTTTATGGACAAAGACACGCATTTAAAGTATCAACTTTCTGAATTCCTAAAAAACAAACAATTTAAGAATGTCAGAAAATAAGCAAGTTAAACAATAAACCTTTAAAATAATTTTTTTTATTCGTTGACAATTTAATTATTATATTTGCACTTAAATCAATTTTGTACTCAAAGTAGCTGCGTTTTGTGTCAGTGTACACGGGTTCAATTTTTGGCCTGTTAACTTTTATATAGTAGACGCCGGTTGTGGCAATAAATAGCATGCATTCAGAAAGCAATTGAGGCAGACTTTGTTGGCAGAGCCTAATGCCATGGCTTGAACATCGTTTGCTTTAATTAAGCATAAATAGTAACTAATTTGATGCGAGTGGTTGGCACGTGGGAACCAGCCGTGTTGACGGTGATGATGAGGCCATGTCATAAGACCCGTATACCTCAAGACCGTAAGACCCCCCGACGTAAGCACAGACCCATGCGTCAACGCAGTGTGCGAGTAATGACAACGACAAATGGGTAGAGAAATGTTCATTGGGGCTGTTTAGTCGGGTGAGGGCAAGTGCCTCGTGGGGGACCTCGGCATGCCTCTTGCATAAGTCGATGACGAACAGGGCCGGAATATGGCGTTGCAGAAGGTAACAACAACTGTGCAACTTGCAGGGGGTATGCAGGCAACAGCGGCAATATTGTAGTCAACCCCATAACAATAATGCAAACTAAATATTTGCGTATTAAATTGTAAATCGCAATGTTTTGCACATGTTTAAAACTCGCATTCGAAAGTGCTTAGCACAACATTTGTTGCAACAGGGTTGCAGTCACAGTTCGCAGAAGTGAGTTGGGGTTAACCGAAATAGATTTTGCCTGCGTCTCGCTATAATTCATATGAATGCTGTTGTCGATTGATTTTTCTTGATATGCTTATTGTCATTTTCATAACAATAGGATAATACGATCTAATAACAAAAAAAAAAAACGAAAAAGTAAGGATATCTTCGGCTCGCCGAAGATTCAATACCCTTGCAAACATTTCCCTTTTGGAGACATTTTTGAATAGTGCAGCTCGAAAATGCTAAGTTTGTTGAAATATCTTTGAAAACAGAATATTTTTCCATATAAGATCCTATTACTCCACCGATCTTTCCTATAGCATCTATATTAAATAGTGATCCGATGTTGATAAGATTTTTCATACACGTAGGGGACATAGTAAAACTTATAAACGCCAAGTTTTGGTAATATATCTTGATAAACAAAAATGCTTTCCATACAATTATTTTATTTTCGACCAATCGTTCCTATAACAGCTATATGATATAGTTGTCCCAACCAGCCGGTATGCAAGCCGGACTTATGCAAAGTTTCATGACGATAGCTTCAAAACTGAGATAGTAGTTCGCATAGAAACAGAAAATCGGACATGGAGATATATCGATTCGGTTGTTAATACTGATCGAGATTATACGTACTTATGAAATCGGCGATGATTCTTTACATGCGTTATACAATGCGAGACAAAATTATATACCCCCTGCAAGGGTATCATAAATAAAATTTGTGTAACCTTAATTTGCCTTAACCTTTTGTGATAAAAATTGTGTAATCAAAAACTAACAAATACTTAATTTCTTTTATTTTTATTCTTTTAAATACTATTATTATTATTTTTATAATTATTATCTTTATTATTACTTTTGGTATAAAGCTTTTTCATTTCACTTAAATATAGCTATAAACGTAATAATTTTCAGTTTTTATATAATTATTAACGTTATTGACAACCTAAATTAATAATCTATAGCTTTTCTACCTGCAAATGCTGGATTAAATATTAATGGATAATTCCTAATCTTCTACTAAGAGTTAATCGTTGCCTAATTCGATGTTCTATTTACGTTTCTCGATGGCTTTTCTAGCACCTATATTAATAACGGTCTGAATGCGTCACCTTCACATACACACACACACCTAGAGAGACACGCTTAGAGCTGATTCTTTGCTCGTTTTCCCCCCGACCACACGCCCTTGGGCCAATGCCCGCACTCACGTTTCACAGCACTGGTGCACTGTATCAGAAAGTGCTTTATTAGCAAAAGGCAAACAAAGCGCTGCATGCGGTCAGATAGACCCGATTCCGGCACCGGCTCTGACGCAGGCACGAGCGCATGCACGAATGTGCCATGCCATGTGCTCCGAGCAGCTGACAGTTGCCGTCGACGCAGCAATTCTGCAGCGCTGCCGCCTGACCCTGACCATAGACACAGTCACGGAAATGCCAATTGGAATATGATTTCTGTTGTGAGGGTGCCGCTGCCGATGCCGCTGTCATCAGTGTGTGTAGCAGGGCGCGTCCATTGTGCATGTGCCCACATATGAGTATTCCAAATTGATGCGAAACGAGCCGCAATCGCTGATTTTGTTGTTGATTGTTGGTCTCGGCTGTGGTCACGTTTTCTGAAACACACGATGAGCACACAAGGCACACATGGTTATAGATAGACCGCAATGACACACGTTGTCTGATCAGCAAAAGCTGAAAATCAATCTAAGTCTAAATAATATGAAACAGTTGTTAAGTAAATTTAAAAAAATAATAAAGTTCAAATCGGAAATTAAATTTGTATCGAAAATGTAAATCATTTTTGACCAAAACTTTTTCCAATATTTAAGAAAATGTTTCATAAATTAATAGCAATTAAACATATTATATCTATATTCTAGTTTGCATTTATTTCTGGCGTCAAATTGAGGTCAAACAATACTAGACTCAGATTGCTCATAGTGGGTTTTCACGTGTCAATTTCGTTGACAAGAGAACCATTAATTTATTTATTAAATTGAAAACTTTTCATAAAGTGGTTCTTCCCATTTTTGCAAAATTTATTTGTTTTCTCGTTGAAAGCTTTATGCAAATTATATCAACTAAAAACAAATGGTGCTACTGCCTTTAAGTCTTCATTCTACTCTAATCCTCTTTTTAAATAAGGTAATATGGAGTCATGCATTAAAACTGGAGCTCAAACTCATTTTAATCTATCATTTTGCATGGCGTGATCTGCATCTGTTTGATGTTGATCGGACTTTATTCAGATCAAAGTTCATATGATAAGTCTTATTATGTATTTCAATATTTGTGTACTGTGAGATTAGCCAGGATTAATCCGCAACAGTTTGCCTTGATTTATTATTTAACTTGGGTAACTATACCGAGAAAGTAAGGATATCTCCGGTACGCCGAAGATTTAGTACCCTTGCAGGCATTCCCTTTTAGCAGATATGTGAGAATAGTGCAGATCCAAAATGCTGAGTTTGATTCTACCAATCCACCAATCTTTCTTATAGCAGCTATATTTTATAGTGATCTGATGTTGATACGATTTTTCATAAATGTAGGGGGCATAGTAAAACTTATAAATGCCAAGTTTTTGTAAGATATCTTGATAAACAAAAAAGTTTTCCATAAAAGTACTTAATTTTATACAATACACAAAACGTTCCAATGTAGATACAATTTTGTATATATGTAGGGAGCATAGTGAAATATATATATATATATATAGTCAATATATCTTGAAAAACAATAACTTAATTACCGACCGATCGTTCCTATGATAGCTTTAAAACTGAGGGACTAGTTCGCATAGAAAGAGACAGACATACAGACGGACATGGCTATATCGACTCGGCTGTTGATACTGATCAAGAATATATGTACTTTATAAGGTCGGATGCATGACACATTTCAGGAAAAAATTATAATACCTTCTGCAAGGGTGTACAAATGAAAGAAATTGTATTTGTAAAATATTGTATTGCATACTCTCGGGTCCTGAGGGTACGTGTCTTGGAAAATCAATTTTTCGCTGCGATTGTGCCAATGTGCAGGTGGCACTGTGCAGGTGTTTCATGATTTCTTTGTGTACCTTGAGTTGCTTGAACTTTGGCTTTAACTTAACGTTTGCTTCTGTTTTCTTTTGCAGTTGCCAATGGTTCGATGAACTCAACAGGTCGTCGGAAACGCCGCCGTGGTGTCAGAATGCCATCTAGACTGCCACAAAAGGCAAGACGCGTAGCATCGGGCTCGACTTCAGCTGCAAATGGTCATGTTAGAGAGTTAAAATCAGAGCAGACGAAGCATTTGAAGCGCATGGAGTTCGATTACAATAAGACGAGCAGGCAGTTAGTGTGTCCACATTCCAGCAGCAGCAACAACAACAAACAATTTATCATCAAAACAGTATTACAACCCACAACGGCCAACAACAATTGCAGCAACAGCAACTGCAGTGGCTGTGGATACAACAAGACAACAGCCAAATTTTGTGATCATAGCTCTGGCATGGATGAGGATGACGATGATGATGATGAGGAGAAGGACCGGAGCTATGTGTTCGTTCGCGAGCCAATCAAGCAGCCGCAGATGCAGCAGCAACAGCAACTGCCAAAATATCATACACATGTTGATGGACTGCTCTCCATAGCCATTAAAACTATCAATCTGGTGCAGCGCAACGAGATGCTGCAGAACCGCTTGGCCCAGCTGCAGTTGGAGACGTCTAAGTTCATTGCCTCGGTGCTGGCCAATCCCGAGAATCGGCATTTTCGTGAGAGAATCACGGCCAACACAAAGGCGGCAAATATAGAGAGCAACGTTTTGCGTTACTGAGCGACAAACAATGCAGAAAACTGCTGCATACTTTTCGGCGGCATTAAGAAAATGCCGCATTCCGATGTGTCACAGCCATCAATTCGACCCAATAGATTTTTTAAATCATTGTTGGATCTGTAGAATGAATGCGCCAAAAATATCGTAATGTCTATTTGTTTTAACCACATAAATTTAAATTAGTTTTGTTTCCAATTAGATTTTTTTAAATTGAAATTGATGGCTGTGACATACGGAATTGAGTTAAGAGCAACTCGTACTGATTACATTTATAACTTAACAAAATGTTAGTTAAATATTTGATTGTACACAATCAAACAGCAAAGGAAATATTATTACTAACAAAAAATAAATAAATCAAAAGTCAAGAATGAAACATTTTTGTGTAGCCACTAAGTATGCTTATTGTCAACATTTTGTACATCAAACAATTTATTTATGACGACATATTTAAAAAAAAAGCTTTTAGTAAAACCTAGTGCTATAGGTTTGTACAAAACATATTTGCTAACCAATTTTAGAACTACGGCGCTTTTGGCTATATACAGAAAAAGGTTGCACTGAGCTATAATTTAAATTGCAATGCAAAACAATTGGTTTATTAAACCAAGCCGAGCAAACAACTATACGTAATTAAATGATCTTCAGAACCCATTATCAACAAACTATATATCATACATTTAAAATAGAAAAATAAAACAACTTGAAGCGTAATTTATTCGAATTGTGTAACCAAAATTCATACCCATCTATTTTAAGACTATAATATTTAATTTACATTTTTGACTTACCTTAATATTAAACTTATAATTAAATTGCAAATAGACAACAAACTTGAATCATGATACAAATTTCAAATAAAATTTATTTCATTGAATTGAAAAATATAATATACAACCTGCTGCCTTATTTATAGCCAATTTCAATAGAAACAATAATTTGAACAACAAACGTTTTAAAAAAAAACCATGGTTAGACCCACACTCAGCGGTCGTGTCAATAACACCAATCAAACCGTTCAAAGACCGTCTCAGAAACTCCTCGACGTTGCGCCTGTCAACTCAATCATGAAAATTATGATTACTGGGGTGTTCCCAGAAACTTAAGTCCACTACTAAGTGGAACAAAATAAAGTCATCAGAGAACAAGAGAGAAGACATGTTTTGGAGAAAAATAGGAAAGTAGGAGTAAGTATGATACTATTAGAAAAACTTAAATATTATCTACTATCGATTATTTAGAAGCGTAATTATCGATAGTTTTTTTTTGTATTAGTAAGCAACTATGCTATACATACTTATTCAGCTACAGTAATGTGATTTAAATGGGGATAATTTTGATACTGTTTAAAATGAATAGACGTTATTCTAAGATTCTAGCGTATCTTATTTCTAGAATGCCCCTAATAAATAGCACTTCACTTGCGTGCGCAGACTACACACATCTGTCATCTTGTTGTCATTCACTACGAAATTACACTTCAATTGTTTCAAGTTCATTCAATTAAGCCGCTACCCTGCCAGACGTCAGCTCGTCTGAACCAAAGCCTCTCGAGTGCAACTCAGCGGTTTTCGGCTCTTCGATTATGATTTTTGCCCCTCGCTGCACAACGTTTCAATCTGCTCTCTTGTTATACCCTGGACACATTGAAAATGGGTAAATGGAGTATAATGGTTTTATTCATATGTATGTAAAAGGCCGAAGAAAACAATTCCGAGCTTATAAAGTATATGTATATAGAGACTTAAAACTTGATAAACATATTTTCCTTTCGATATATTCTCGCATTTTCATAATTTCCATAAATATCGATTTTTAGACATGAGTTTACGTCACAACTAGAAAATTATAAACGATTAAAAATATTTAATTTATTGGATTCCTATTCACACATTTCTCAAAATTAAAGAAAAACTCATGCACTTATATATTCAATATTTATTATATATATATATTTATTATACAGTACGACCTCGCTCAACGCAACCCTCGTTACACGCAACTCCTCGATAATTGCAACACCCGATTTCTTAACATTGTAGACTCAGCTGTTCAGAAAAGTATAGATTGTAAAAAAGTACAGACCACAATTTCTCAATTTTTCAAAAAATAAATAAAGTAAAATGAAATCCAGAACTATTCGATTTACTTTAATTTTAATGGTTAGCAAAGGCATCTCTTTTTGGAAATAGGTCTCGTGGCCAAGTGAAAATTTACCCTCGGTTTTTGCAACCACCTCAGTTTTCGCAATTGGCCAAATTTTAATAGGTTGCGTTGAGCGAGGTCGTACTGTATATATATATATTTATTAAATATACAACCGAAGAATGTTGGTAACTGTGGCTTTGCTCTGTGTCCAGCGTAACTTCTAGTCGGGCATACCCGGCAACAAAAATATTACTTGCTGTGTTTCTTTCTTAATTCAGTTGCGCGTTGCAGTCAGCGTTTGCCAGATTTGAGATCATAAACATATGTATATATTTATATCATTTTATCATTTTTACAAGACGCTTTAGCATTTTTCTTTTTTTTTATATGTTTTTTTTTATTTTTGTCTCTGTCTTATTTGCTTCAAAGGTATTTTTGTTTTTGAGTTTTATTGCCATTTGGCGTTGGGCATCGCTGTGGTCTTTTTTATATGCGCAGCGCACGTCTTAAATTTTTAGAGGCGTTTCGCGTTAGACACGTGATTTACGAGCATCGCACAAATTACAGGGATCGGGCCAAAGCCGGGCCCCACAGCACTTGACACTGAGAGGGGGCTTTATTGTCCGGGAGCTTTATTGCCCGACAACGATGAGAATTGTGGCCACGTCTTGAAATTGAAGTTGAACTTGATTTGCGTTCGTGTTTATGCAGTTTAAGTTTGATAATATATTTAGTTTGCTTGTGTTTGTAATTAAATAGATGGGTTGTTTGAACTCCCAGTGGACAGTATCAAATTGTTAAAATCAACACATTAGCGAATCGTTTGAGTCGACCTTGAAAAGGTTTTCGCAAATTAGGCAACCTTTTTAGTTTTGTTTTTCTGGTTACTGCTGCTTATTTTTGTTTCTATGGTTCATTTTAAATAGCCGAAGTCAACAAATATAAATAACATTTATGAGCACTAAATCAACAGCACTCATGAACAATTCAGTTTCAATGGCAAATACACGGTAGGCAAAATTAATTGTATGTGCATTGAACAGCTAGAGAACTTAATGTTTCTAACATAAACTCAATATGCTTCGCTTTGGCACACTTTAGTTAACAAATTAACATGTGCAAATGCATACAAAGATTTAATAATGAAAAGAACCCTGGCAGTAGGGGTTCGTCATGGTTGTTCTGTTAATTCTAGAAATACGAGTATTTGTATTTGCTTATCACATATTTTACTTAATTATTGCTGGCATTATTTAAGATGTCATATCGCTTAATTATGAGGCATTTCATACCTTAATAAATACATTAATATATACACTTGCTACTTTACTAAAACATGTATTTGGCGGAAACATATTCATATATAATTTTGCTGCGGCTTGATTTAAAGGACAAATCATGGAAATCCGTTAGGGTTAAGCAAAGTTCTGAGAGTTTAAGAAAGTGTAAGAACAAAAAAATACCTTTGAAGCTTATAATAATAAAAGCTTAACTCTTTCTTCTTTGTTTATATTAACACTAGCGGGTACAACCCGGCCTTGCCCGTATTTTATAAAATAAATGTTCTCAAAAAGCTGTGAAAATTATTTTGAAACTGATCGGACGGTTAACAAACAACTTTCATAAAAACGATTACGAAACACGTCTCGAATGATTTTTCTTATAGATCTCTGGAAATAAATTTGAGCGCGAAACGTCACCCACCACCCTTAACGTCTTAACGTGCACCTACATCACATAAGGTAACTACAGTGAAAATTTCAGCTTCCTAGCTCTTACGGTTTGGGCTGTGCGTTGATCACCAATCAGTCAGCCAGTTAGTCAGTCAGTCAGGACAAACAGTTTTATATATAGAGATAAGTAGTGATAGGATTGTTTTATTTTGTTGGCTTAGATTCTTATAGCATAAGTATTATCTTCATTTTTATTCGTTTTCTGCTCTGCCTGCCAATCGATTGATGTTTTTTCATACTCTATCGATCATCATGCCGATATTAATAAGTATAATTATCGATTCGATGAGAATGTCCAAGCGGTTACTAGACACTTAGAAGCGAGAATTTAGGATAGTTGCAAATGATTTACAAACTAACTTAATCAGAATTAGAGACAAAACTTTTTTTTAAATATTCTTAGTCTTTTCATTTCGACTAAATAATATAACACGTAATTTTTAACTGAAACAATCGAAGAATACAGAAGAAAATTGTCTACATAGACAATATAGATGAAATTTTTATAAAATACATTTGGATAGCAAACCTTGATTGAGATGCTATTCCGCTTCGAAATGGTTTCCGTTTTGGATAAATTTGTGACATTCTAAACTTAACAATTAACTATTTATAATATTCAATAACTAGCAAGATTATTTACTTTGGAATTTTAAAGTTATATACATATTATATTTATATACATATTAACAAAATAGCAAGAATGGCATAAGTTACATTTTGGGGAAACCCTTTTATTGGCTTTGCCTTGTGCAAACAAGGAATTATAACCTTACTAAACATTCGTACATATATTCAGTTGTTTTTTTCTATTTCTTTCATTTTATATTTTGATATATTTTCAAGTGGAATAGCAAAAATGATGAATCATGCTGCGCTCTAGGCAAATTTTCAAGCATACTATCACTTTCTGACACCTAATCGGAGAGCAGACACATTCGTTTTTTATTGTTTAGCATTTAAATTTTAATTAGCAGCGTTTTGTTTCATCTTTTGATCAATGAACAATTAAGACTATCGAATGCTTTCAGCCCAGCACTTGAGTGTGTTTCTGTGTGTGTGCACTTGATTAAAATCAAACACTAGATAATTCGACAGTTGCCAAGTCATGCTAAATGAATATGCATAAAATCTGTGCAAATATCAACTATGGGCGTTTAAACAAAGGCGCGCGAGCCGAGCAAAATGCATTTCAAGTAATTTGTTTGGATTTCAGATATAAAACCTATATAGAAAAAAAATAGATATGTATAAAAATACAAATAAAATGTTGCTGCGCCTGTACTGAAGGTCGAATACGATTCACAAATGCGCCAAAAAAACTGATGATGAAAGTAGCAACAAAATTAGAAATCGAACGAGCTGAAGCTATTGTTGTTGTTGTGTTGTTGTTGTTGTGTTGTTGCTTGTTTGCCCATTAATGAATAGGAGCTTAATGTTGTACGTATGCAAATTTTGTGTGGCTGAACTTTAGGTTTGTAATCGTCGTAACATGAAGTCATCAGCATTACAGTGCATAGATACAAGATACAAGATACACAGCTGCACAGACAGTTAAAACGCAGCGTTGCCTGACATTGAACTTGAGCCGTCAAAACAGAGTCTGCTTCGCTCTAACGTGGCTAAATAGCGGAAGCACATTCAGCACAGCTACAGATCATAGTTTTATTTGTTCGCAAGCAATTGCTAATGGGATGGTACCAAATTTTTGATTAACGCATGCTTGCCCGTGATGGGATTATGATCATAAACTGGTGCTAATTCAGTTTCAGTCAAGATATGCAAAACTTTTGGCTATGACTAACACAACGTCCACAGCGTGAATCGCCAAAACTGGCGAAACGGGGCAAAGACAAGCTAAGTATAAGTCGAAATGTAAATAAGCCCGAATGAAATTTCTGCAAGTTCACGCGATGAACTTGAAAAAGACGCGCCATGGGCGACAGCAAAAACTGTA